TGGCATTCTCTTCCTACATGAAATTTATAATTACTAAAAACCTCACCCAATCTAATAACAGCCATCTACCCACTCTCATGGCTTCGACCGCTCAAATGTGGACCAATTATTTTTCCATACTGCACTCCCCTGCATCCTTCTTCTGCCAATATTATCATTGGTAATACTGACACTCCTTTCACAAACTCCATGTCTCTGTTTCTTTATTCACTTTAAGCATTTTGCTCAAACTTCTTTTCATCAGAACCTTTGGAGGCAGTAGTATAGTAGTATTGTCACTAGATTAGCGATCTAGAGACCCAGGCAAATGTTCGAGGGATATGGGTACAAATCCCATCATGGCAGATGGTGAAATGTGAATCAAAGAAAATCTAGAATAAAAAGCTAGTTAATAGTAATCATGAAACCATTGCCAATAGTTGCGAAAAACCCATCTGGCTCACTAAAGTCCTTTAGGGAAGGAAATCTGTCATCCTTACATTGTCTGGCTGATATAAAACACGTGGCAAATAGCAATGTGGCTGATTCTCAACTGTCCTTTGAAATAATCTTAGTAGGCCAGTCAGTTCAAGTGGAAATTAGGGCCCAGCCAGTAATGTCCACATCCTGTGAATAAAAGGAAACTTTTTGATAACCCTTCCAAACTTGCCCAGAGCAGCTCAGACTTCAAGAAGTCTTACATCAGTGAAAGCTGTCATAAGAAACCACATTTGTGTACAATAACAATAACCAGTTGATCTACAATAAATAAAACTAAACAGCAAGAATATATACTTCCTTTAACAACATTCATAAAGACAATTCTGAATCAATTATACAGAGAGTCCTGTGTCACTGTGAGTCAAAGCAAGTTAAATAGATGAAAAGCTTATATTATAATAATACATTACAACATTCAAATGATAGAACTTTGCGTCAATCGTTAAGAATATTTTAAACATTTATTTTCAAGGACTAAATTAACATCACGAATGGAGTTTTAGATAAGGTCGTTGCTGATAAAACTACAGAAGACATCAGGGTTGGAACTGAAAGAACAAAAGTAGCATTCTAATTCTGTGGCTACCTAAATGTGCAATTTTGATTGAACCGAGTGCTGCATGAAGATTTTCAGAAGGTGAAAGTTTGTTCGAGGAATCATTAGCAAGCAAACAAACACTCTCATCAATTTAAAAATATATTACAAGTTTTGGGTGAGCCATAGGTAACCCCAAAAATAATTTACTGGATAACGCCTAAAAACGATCCTGCTTTACATTCTATAAAGTTCCTACGATTTGCTCGTGAAATGTGGAAGACTCTGGAAAAACAACTGCAAAAAAATATAGAAATAAAACTAGACAGACCTCCTGGCATCAACCTTGGTCGTGAATCTGATGGTAGGTCAAGTAGAATCTGCAGGGTACTCTTCACTAACTAATGGGAAATTATGCCAAAACTGTTTCACAGCCTGACATAGGTAGACGTCTGAAAGCATGACAATCAGTCAACATCTCAGACTCCTCCATCACCGTCTCTGAGTATTCCCAGTCCCATTGGCATGAATGACACACCAAGCTGGTAGCACAGTGATAAAGAAAGGGAATGGTCCCGGGAGTCCTCAACATCAACTCGGAATTGCATAGCAGCGTATCAAAAAGGAGAAAAAGTATCTGCATATTTACACCAGCTTCCTTCCCCTCAGCTGATGAATCAGTGCTCCTCCATGTTGAACTTGGAAGAAGCATTAAGCATACAAAGCATACAGAATGTCATCTCCAGGCTGGAGGTTTTAAACATCATGCACCAAATGATTTGCTAGAATTGCCAATGACTGAACCCCAAAGGACAGGCAAGATAGGCAAGGAGCAGGCTAGTACAAGGGAAAAAAAAACTGTACTTGACTTTGGCTTAACCCACCTTCCTCTCACAGTTATATATTGAAACTTGGATGAGTGAAACGAATGTACAATCACCAAGTTGGCAGACAACACAAAAATAGATGGAAGATAAGTGGGGAGAAGACACAGTCTACAGGAGGATGTAAACAGATTAAGTGAATGGATAAAAACTTGGCAGATGGAATATAATGTGGGAAAATATAAAGTTGTACACTTTGGCAGGAAGAATAGAAGAGCTAAGTGTTGTTTAAATGGAGAAAGCTGCAGCATGGAGGGATTTGGGGATCATTGTGCACAAATCACAAAAATTAGCATATAAGGTCAGGAGGTAACAGAGAGGGCAAATGGATGCTGGCCTGTTTTTCAAAGGGAATAGAGCATAAAAATAGTGAAGTCTAGTCAGACAGCATCTAGAATACTGTGAACAGTTTTGATCTCCTCATCAAAAGGAAAGGTATACTGGCATTGGAAGTAGTCACTGAAAATGCATTGGGTTCATCCTGGGTATGAAGGGCCGGTCTTATAGGGAGATATTGAACAGGTTGGACCTATACTCGTTGGAATTTAGAAGGCTGAGAGGCATCTTATTGACATACATAAAATTCTTAGGGGACTTGACAGGGTAGATGCGGAAACATTGCTTCCGCTCATGGGATAGTCTAGAATCAGGGGGCATAATCTCAGTGTAATTGGTTGCCCGTTTAAGACAGAGATGAGGAGGAATTTCTTCTGAGGTGAATGTATCTGTGGAATTTTTTACTACACAGACTATTGAGGCTGGATAATTAAGTATACTCTGTACCTAGGTACGTCTGTACTCAAGATGACACCGTAAGTAGCAACTTATGAACTTTTCACTGTACTCATGTGAGTATGTGACAATAAAGCTAATTCAATTCAAAAGCTGGAATAAACAGATTTTTAAATCAATACGAGACTCAGGGTTATTCAGATTATCAGATCAGCCATGATCTCATTAAATGGTGAAACAGATTTGAAGGGCCAAATGACCTATTTCTACACCTTACTGTGTTACAGAAAAGACATCCTACATTGTGCAAAAAGAAATAGAAACAGTTCACACCTGGCAGCTCAAAAGTAGCTATTTAGAATGCAATGTGATCCATCAGCAGCAGAATTGTATTCCGCCACAATCTTTAGGGCCTGAACTGGCATCTTACCCCAGTTGATCAAGTAGTCAGGTAACCAATCTCTGCTTAATGAGGATTGTGGAAGAGGATGCTAGGAGCTACACTAGGCATTGTTAAAAATCAGGTGCCAAACTGATGAAGCTATAAGACAGGCATGGGTTACATCAAAGTTAAATGGAAGCAGAGTGCAGTAGACAGAGGAAAAACAAAGCAACAAGCGCAATCTGCCATATCAAGATGTGACTAATGATGTGCAATTAAAATAACGGTATGAGGTGGGTGCATGCACATTCCCACTCGCAATTAGGGTGGAGATTGGCACTTGAGTGCAATAGACAAAGTTGAAACTTCCACAGCCATACTCGGCAAAAAGTAGCAAGTTGATGATCCATTTCAGTCCCCTCGTTAGGTCCTTACCATCACAAATGCCAGTCTTCACCAATTCGCATGATTTCAAAAAAATGACATCGTACTGGATACAGCAAATGCTACTGGACCAGACAACATCTCTCCTGTAGTCCTGATGACCTGTGTCTCAGACCTAATCATGTCTTTAGCCAAGCTGGTCCATTACAGTTACAACACTGGAACCTACTTGACAAAGTTGCAAATTGCCAAGACTGTCCTGTCCACAAAAGTTTGATAAATCCAACCCGTCCAAAATCCACCCTCACAAAAGGTGAGACAGACTCAAGTGAATTTTTCATATGCAAGAAGTTTTAGCGCATGGAACACTTTGCTACGAGAATAATTGAAGGGAAGACCACTGCACTTTTTAAAGGAAGAGTAAGCAAACAGACAATAACAGTAGTACGAAGGAGAAAATCATTGAATCAGTTTTTTAATAGCAAAGTGCTGTCACAGACACAATGGGACAAATATCTAAGCTAATGAACTTCGGTCAGTTTAATGAAAATATCATGGATTGGAATCAAACATGTCACTTCAGATCAGATACAGTTTATAAATATAGTTCGGAAACAAATTGATTAAAAAAAAATTCCTCATTTAACTGTACACAGAAACTAGCCATGCTGAAGCAGATTTGATTATGTGCATTTGCCAAATCATACGTAGAAATCAGGAGCAGAAATAGGCTATTTAGCCCTTTGAAAGTCTTCAGCAGTGCACATAGCCTAAGCTGTGCTTAATGGCAAACTATTCTTCTTTTGTCTTCATGAACCATCGTTTCTATTATCTGTAGTCAATTCTCTATTTAAACCTGGTGATGTTTCCAATCAGAAACTCTCCTTCCCTTCCAATCCTCACTTCCAGGCTAGTGACTGGAAAGTACTGGCAGAAAAATACTGCACTGATATACCTGGACGTCAAGAAGCTTCCTTTTGGAAATAAAGATGAATGATCCATTTTTACACTCAGCACAGAACCATCCATATTAACACCAGCTAACCAACAGAATAGTCCGCAATGGTGTTGATGCTCCTTTTGTATTTGACCCATGGAACTAAAATAAGCAAAAAGAAAATGGAGCCAAAATTATTTTGCTCCTTTCCACATATTTTTTCAAACAAGAAATCAAATCCAATATCTGATCAATTTCTATAATCAAAAAAAAGTGAAACAATTAAAATATATATATTTAAATTATCCCATTTCCTGATTAGTGTGTCCTCAACATGTAGAACTTTATGTTGAAATTGAGATGAATGAGTCATGGTGAATTAACATTCCTTTTCCAGTCAATGCACTTCTAAATATGCAATGTTTGTTTTGTCATGATAATAATGTCAGCAATCTTCTGAAGAGTACAATCCAATTTGTTGATTCCAAAGTTACAAAAAGTATTGTACACACGGTGACCGTCCCATATTTAATCTGTGGTTAATTCAAGCTTTTAAACAAAGAATTATACACTACATTTCAGTTTTAGGTCATCTTTGGAGGAGGATTGGGGAGAGGTAAATGGAAGTCAAACATTTAAAATTACCGTGAGGGAAGATAGGGTTACCTTAGAAACTGTCCAAAATGATCAGCATTTTCCAGAGAGAACTAACTGTACTCTGAACAGGGAGGCAAACATCTGAAAGAACAGAAGGGTTGATTTCTTTTGTATTGAGAAATAAGTCAGCAAAAAAATTCAAGTTTCAGTTCTGAGCCTTTTACAAAATGGCATACAACATTTACACAACATTAGTTTTAATCTGAAGTTATAAAGTTGTTTCACACTTCAAGATGTAAATACCATTCTGTATATTAGAATCTCTGCAACTGGTGCTTAGTTTCTGTGCTCACTTTGCCCATAGTTAACACGCAGTAAGAATTTTTTCTTGTTCAAAGGTAACATAATATGAAATGCATCACAAATTGAACTGAAGTCAAGTTAACCACATTACATAAGAAACAAAAGAGAAGATATACAGAGGAGAGAAATTAGATCAGAGTGTCAGTAGCACGATGTGTAGCACAGACACAATGGTCAATAGTCTCATTCTGTATTGTGATTTCTGTGATTGTATGAACTGAAGTTCAAATTTGGTTTTAAAGCACTGGGAGTCCTGTGACTCCTTGCCTTCTTACACCTGATAGCAGTTTAGAGATTCATTTTTAAATTGCACTGTCCCACAGTCATTAGCAAATCCAAGAAAGATCCTGGAAAACAGCAACCACAGGTCAAATGCATCCAATTGTTTACATACTCTTATCCATTCTTAACTACTATTCCGATTTATGTGAATTCAGTTATATTTCAGCAGAAAGCCATCAGCAGAAGGCAGGGTTTACGATTATTCACTTTCTCATGGGGTCGTGATTCAGGCCGAAAAGTGACGTCAAAACTTCTGCTGCTCATCCATTTAAAGTACAAACAGGGAAGGAAATTCAATACTTAAGAGCAGCCACTTTTAGACGGTGGTTCTACACTTTAAAAACAGCTTGCAGAGAAACAGTAACAATAATCCCCTTATAATGCACCAGCTCCAAAACACAATTGGATGCCATTGTAAACACATTGTTAACCTGCATTCATTCAACTTTTAACTGCACTATACTTGCTTGCGACTATTAAGCCATGCAATCTTTGACACTGTTGTGCTCTTTATTCATTCACTAGCAGCCAGAATTAGAATATCGGTGAGAAATGTTCTGAGTGGTCTTGCTGTAAGGTAGATGGAAAAGGGACGATGCTTTATTTGGATGGGTCATCAGCACATGTGGAAATGACTGTTGCGCAGTAGCTTTAATTGATGCATCATGTAAGTAAAAGGTAAAGTTGTCATTACCCTACCAGACCATAAGGTGCTCTTCTATTAGAGAGGAAGATGGCTGGTGGTGGTATGGTGGAGTGCCACCATATACAGGTGAGGGGAAAGGGCAAGAAAGAAACAAAAACATAAATTGCTGGGAAAACTCAGCAGGTCTGATGGTATCTGTGAAGAGAAAGCAGAGTTAAAACTTCTGGTCCAGTAACCCTCCTTGCAAAACAGTCGCCCATTCTGCGCTTTGTCTTCCCAATGTAGAGAAGATGCTTTGCAGAATACTTATGCAAAATTGACCCTGAGCTTCCTGTCGCCTGCCACTTCAACACGCCACTGTGCTCCCTGACCAACACCTTGGTCTTAGGCTTGCTGCAGTCCTTCAGTGAAGCTCAGTGCACGCTGGAAGGATAGCATCTCATTTTCCACTTGGGAACCCAGCAACCTTCAAGACTCAGTATGGAGATCAATCATTTTATAGCCTGAGCACCTTCTCTCCTCTCCTTATCCCAAACCCCACACACCAGGCCTGGTCATCACTGGGGCTGCTACCACAACCATCCCATTGTCAGCCACTAGTGGTGCCCATTAGCAGCTATTGATTCTCCCAGGCTGACCATTACCCGTTCCTTGGTCTGCCCAACTGTTGTTCTCTCTCTGTGTGGGCTTCATCTCCACCGTTCATTTACTCCTCCCCCTCCCCCCAACCCCACTCCCAGCCCCACCAAGCCCCCATCCCATCTTCAGCATACATACACACCAATCTTTTCCTATCTACAATCAATTCCAAAGAAGGGTTGTTTTCTCTCCACAGATGCTGCCAGACCTGCTGAATTTTTCTAACAATTTCTGTTTTTTGTTTCGGATTTCCATCTTCCCCATTCTTAGCTTTTTTTTGGTTTAGTAGTTGGGAAGAAGATGGTAACTTTAGTTGGTGCATGAATCGGAAACCATTCTGCATCACAAACCCCAGCCATTCAGTCACCTGAACAAGTAAGCAAAGCTATCTTTACAGAATGCCTCGTCACCGCCTAGTTGCCAGTTTGTTTATAACTTCTTGCTCTTGGTCAGGGTCATTCTTTCTGACTCGTTGTTGCTATTTGTCTTCTAGGACCCTCTGGAAGTCAAGATTATTTAAAACATTAGAGATTACAATGATTTTTGCATATTCATCCTGATATCTGAACTTTCATTCAAAGAACATAAAACTATATTCAAACAAAGATCTGGTACCAATGTATGTTTCATTTTGTATGCATTTCAACTCTTATGATAGTCCTAGTTTCTTCAAATAGGTGAACAGCCAATTGCAGTTTTGGTTCCCCAGCATCCATTCATCAATCTTTGAGGCCCTCTAAATACTGATAACAGCCATTAAAATAAATGAATCATGGAAACTTCCAGAGTGTTAAAGATGGTTTGATTTCGGACAACATAGACCAACTGGAACCTCTTTCTTTGCGTGAAATGGGTGGCATTGGGGGTAGGAGTCTTGAATCTCACACTCCTTTCATTAATGCCCACAGCTGTCAGCAACCCAACCAAACTGCAAAGTAAATGACTCTGTCCTGATGGCATCTGGACAAACAAAGGTAACTATGGCTAATACATATGCAATTATGCACTAACTATGAAGTTATGAGAACTGACAAATATCTGTTATTGCTCAAACAATCCACATCCTAATAACTCGTCATTGAGGTCACTTTTTCTTGCTGTAGGAGTATACCAAGTACAATGATATCCTCCTTTTCTTTTCTCTTTATTCTTTCACAGGAAGTGAACATCATCGACAAGGCCAACATTAATTACTCAGTAGCTTGCTGAATCATTTCGGAGGGCAGTTAAGAGTCAACTGCATTGCTGTGGGTCTAATGTAACATGTGGGCCAAACCAGGTAAAAATCGCAGATTCCCTTCCCAAAAAGGTCATTTCTTTTTTTCTTTAATGCACTCATGGGACAAGGGCATTGTTGGTTGGACAGTATTGAGAAGGTGGTGGTGAGCTGCCTTCTTGAACCACTGCAGTCCACCTGCTGTAGGTTGGCCTAAAATACCAGTAGGAAGGGAATTCCAGGAACAGCAATATATTTTCAAGTCAGGGAGGTGAGTGGTTTGGAGGGGAACTTACAGGTAGTGGTGTTCCCATGCATCCGCTGCCCTTGTCCTGCGATATGGTAGTGGTCATGTGTTTAGAACGTGCTGTTTCAAGATCTATGACAAATTTCTGCAGTGTGAACCAGATGGATTTTTACAACAATGATGTTTATCATGGTTACCATTACTGAGATGACTTGTCTATTCCAGATTTATTAACTGAATTTGTATTCCACAAGCTTCCATAGTGGGATTTGAACCTGTGCCTGCGAAGCTACAGAGCCAGAGCCTCCAAACTACTCATGCAGTAACATGACTGCAACATCACCATTTCCTATTGTGTACACAAAATGATGGACCATGCATATACAGTTGGCAGTGCAAGGGGGTGTCCATATCGATGTCTCGAGATGCAAATTCAGCTGTCTGGCATGGCTCCTCTTATCTTCCACCTCATTTAGAAACTTCAGTGGAATACCCAACATTCTCTCAAAGCAGCACATATAGACCTATCCTTGAGGAAACACAATAACAGATGAGCTGCAGCTTTAAAATATTCTCAGAGAGATTCCGATGTGTTTCACCAACTCCCATTTTTAAATAATAGAAACATATTGCAAAAGCAGTCAGTCAGAGTCAGAACAAGAAAATTGTTGCACAAAAATCAACTCTGACTATAGAACTTTAAGAGCAAAGACCCAACTTTTTTTTTTCCTTTATTTGTTAATGGGAGGATGACATCGCTGGCCAGGCAGCATTTATTGCCCATCTCTAATTGCCCAGAGGGCAGTTCAGAGTCAACCACATTGCTGTGGGTCTGGAGTCACATGTAGGCCAGACTAGGTAAGGATGGCAGTTTCCTTCCCTAAAGGACATTAGTAAACCAGATGGGTTTTTCCTGATAATCAACAATGGATTCATGGTCATCATTAGATTCTTAATTCCAGATTTTTTTATTATTGAATTCAAATTCCACCATCTGCCGTGGCAGGATTCGAACCCAGGTCCCCAGAATGTTATCCAGGTCTCGGGATTAACAATCCAGCAATAATGCCACTAGGCCATTGCCTCCCCTACATAACTTGCGGAACTGTACCTCTCACGTTGCATCCGTTTATATGAATATTGAGGAGCAGGCGAACTATTCAGGTACAAGAGAAATTAGAGAGAATGATTGGAAAAATTGCAGACAACCCCAAAATTGACCAGAGGATGATTGTGAACAAAAGGAAGAGATCGATGGTATAGTTGAATGGGCAGAAAAGTGGCCAATAAAATTCAGAGAAGTGAGAGGTTATGTATTTGGTGAGGGCAAACAAAGCAAAGGAATACACAATAAATGTAAGGGTATTGACAGGTGAGAAGGAAGGAAGTAAAGCACACTGGAATGCATGTCCACAGGTCCATGAAGGATGCAGCACATTGTAGAAACAGCAAACAGAATGCTTTCTTTCATTGGATAAGGTATTGAATACAAAAGCAGGGATCCAAAGCTGGAAGTTTAGAAGACACTGGTTAGGCCACAGTTGGATTTTTCTGCATAGTTCTGGTCACATTACAGGAAGGATACATTTGCTGTAGACAGAATACAGACAAGATTGGAAAGAATGTCGCCAGGGCTTGAAAATTGCAGGTATGGGGAACGATTGGACAAGCTAGGGTTTTCTTCCTTAGATTAGAGGAGCCAGAAGTGGTAACTTAACTAAGGTGTATAAAATTAGGGTCTTGGATAG